TATATATTTTTTATTTGGCCAATTAATTTATTTCTAATTTTTTTTAGTAGAGACGGGGTCTCGCTCTTGCTCAGGCTGGCCTCCAACTCCCGACCTCGAGCGATCCTCCCGCCTCGGCCTCCCAGAGTGCTGGGACTACAGGCGTGAGCCTCCGCGCCCGGCCTGCCCGTTTGCTTTTTTACTTCAAAATGAGAGATTTGCAGTGCGCACAAGAATGTGTTCGCAGTTCTTCACTAAGCTCTAGTCCGGATCTCTGCTCAAAAAGTTTGGGGGCCCGGCTTCAGTCCACAAGAGTGACGTGGAGATCTGGAGTCATTTTAGGCGGGTGCGCGCGTACACAGCAGGCGCCGACTGTGTGCCCTGTCCCCACCGCAGGCCGTGCTGCGCGCGCACTTCGAGAACAACAGCCCGTTCCTGACGGTGACGGGGCTGGCGCGGGCCTGCGCCGCGGAGCACAGCAGGCGCCGACTGTGTGCTGTCCCCGCAGGCCGTGCTGCGCGCGCACTTCGAGAACAACAGCCCGTTCCTGACGGTGACGGGGCTGGCGCGGGCCATCGAGGTGTCGCACTGGGGCAACGTGGCGGTGGAGGAGAGCGTGTGGCTGCGGCACTCGGGCGCGGCGCTCAAGGGCCCCTTCTCGCGCTACGACTACCAGCGCCAGCCCGACAGCGGCGCCGCCTCCGTGCGCGCCTTCAAGGTCAGCCGCGGGCCTGTCGCGGGGGCGGGGGGCGGCGGGCGGTGACGAGCTGTCACGAGGGGTGGCGAGGGGTGACAAGCGGTGATAAGGGGTTACAGGGGGTGATGAGCTGTCACAAGCGGTTACAAGGGGTGACAAGGGGTGACGAGCTGTCACAAGGGGTGACAAGGGGTGACAAGCTGTCACAAGGGATTACAGGCGGTGACAAGGAGTGACAAGCTGTCACCGGCTGTCACAAGGGGTGACAAGCTGTCACGCTGTCACAAGGGATGACAAGCGGTGATGAGGGGTGACAAGCTGTCAGGCGGTGACAAGGGGTGACAAGCTGTCACAAGGGATTACAGGCGGTGACAAGGAGTGACAAGCTGTCACCGGCTGTCACAAGGGGTGACAAGCTGTCACGCTGTCACAAGGGATGACAAGCGGTGACGAGGGGTGACAAGCTGTCAGGCTGTCACAAGGGGTGACAAGCAGTGACGAGGGGTGACAAGCTGTCAGGCTGTCACAAGGGGTGACAAGGAGTGACAAGGTTGACAAGCTGTCACAGGCTGTCACAAGGGGTGACAGGCAGCGATAAGGGGTGACAAGCAGTGACAAGGGGTGACAAGCAGTGACAAGGGGTGACAAACTGTCATAGGCTGTCACGAGGGATGACAAGTGGTGACAAGTCGCAGGTTGTTACAAGGGGTGACAAGTGATGAGGGGTGACAAGCTGTCAGGCTGTCACAAGGGGTGACAGGCAGTGACAAGGGGTGACAAGCTGTCAGGCTGTCACAAGGGGTGACAGGCAGTGACAAGGGGTGACAAGCTGTCAGGCTGTCACAAGGGGTGACAAGCAGTGACAAGGTGTCAGGCTGTCACAAGGGGTGACAAGGGGTGATAAGCTGTCACAGGCTGTCACAAGGGGTGACAGGCAGTGACAAGGGGTGACAAGTGGTGACAAGGAGTGACAAGCTGTCAAGCAGTGACAAGGGGTGACAAGGGGTGACAAGTCGCAGGCTGTCACAAGGGGTGACAAGTGACGAGCGGTGACAAGCTGTCAGGCTGTCACAAAGGGTGAGAAGCGGTGACAAGGAGTGACAAGCTGTCAGGCTGTCACAAGGGATGACAAGGGGTGACAAGCTGTCACAGGCTGTCACAAGGGGTGACAGGCAGTGACAAGGGGTGATAAGTGGTGACAAGGAGTGACAAGCTGTCAGGCTGTCACAAGGGGTGACAGGCAGTGACAAGGAGTGACAAGCTGTCACAAGCTTGCCACAAGCTGTAACTCGGTCACCCCCGGCCCGCACACTTGCGTTCTTGCACACAGAGTCTGGCTCTGTCGCCCGGGCGGGAGTGAGCGCCGTGGCGTCAGCCTCGCTCACGGTCGCCTCCGACTCCCGGCCTCCAGCGAGCCTCCCTCCTCGGCCTCCCACAGTGCCGGGACGACAGGCACGCGCCTCCGCCGCGCGCGGCCTGGCATTCCTTCCCGCAGTCGGGGTCCCTGCTCTGAGCGGGGTCCCCGCGTCCCACGCGCGCGCGGTCTCTGTCCCCCAGACCATCCTGCCCGCCGCGGCCCAGGACGTGTACTACCGCGACGAGATCGGCAACGTGTCCACCAGCCACCTGCACGTGCTGGACGACTCGGTCGAGATGGAGATCCGGCCTCGGTTTCCCCTCTTCGGCGGCTGGAAGACGCACTACGTCATCGGCTACAACCTGCCCAGCTACGAGTACCTCTACTGCCTGGGTGCGTCCCCACGGCGACACGCCGCCCCCGCCGGGTGTTGTGTTCTGTTTCGTTTTGTTGTTTAGTCTTGTTTTATTTTCTGTTTTGTTTTGATTTTTTGTCTAGTTTTCTTTCTGTTTTGTTTCTTTATTGTTTTGTTTTGCTTGTTTTGTTTCTTTTGTTTTGTTTTGTTTTTTGTTTTCTTTCTTTATTGTTTTGTTTTGTTTCTTTATTTTGTTTTGTTTCTTTGTTTTGTTTGTTTTGTTTCTGTTTTGTTTTGCTTTTTTGTTTTGTTGTGATTTTTTTGTTTTGTTTATTTTGTTTCTTTTGTTTCTTGTGTGTCTTTGTTTTGTAGTTTGTTTTTTTTGTTTTGTTGTGATTTTTTGTTTTGTTTCTTTTGTTTGTTTTGTTTTTTTGTTTTGTTTTCTTTATTGTTTTGTTTCTTTGCTTTTTTTATTTTGTTTTTGTTTTGTTTCTTTTGTTTTGTTTTTTTGTTTTGTTTTCTTTATTGTTTTGTTTCTTTGCTTTTTTAATTTTTTTTTGTTTTGTTGTGTCTTTTTGTTTTGTTTTCTTTGTTTTGCTTTGTTTCTTTGTTTTGTCTTGTTTTTTTAAGCTGTTCTTTAATTTCTTCCTTTACTTTTTTTTTTTTTACTTTTTTTTTCTGAGGCAGAGTCTCGCTCTGTCGCCCGGGCTGGAGTGAGTGCCAGGGCGTCGGCCTCGCTCACAGCAGCCTCCAACTCCTGGCCTCAACCGATCCTCCTGCCTCGGCCTCCCTCCCGAGTAGCTGGGACTACAGGCATGCGCCACCACGCCCGGCTCGGTTTTTCTATATGTATTTTCAGTTGTCCAGCTCATTTCTATTCTTTTTTTGTTGTTGAGACAGAGTCTCACTGTGTCGCCCGGGCTAGAGCGAGCGCCATGGCGTCAGCCTCGCTCACAGCAGCCTCCAACTCCCAGCCTCCTGCCTCAGCCTCCCTCCCGAGTGGCTGGGACTCCAGGCATGTGCCACCACGCCCGGCTCATTTTTTTCAGCTGATATTTTTAGTTTTCCGATTATTTCCTTTCTATTCTTAATAGAGACGGGGTCTCGCTCTTGCTCAGGCTGGCCACGACCTCCTGGCCTCGAGCGATCCTCCCGCCTCGGCCTCCCTCCCGAGTAGCTGGGGTGACAGGCGTCGAATTCTCCGCTTTTCACGCCACTGCGCATGTCGGCTTCCCCCCTCCCAGGTGACCAGTACGCGCTGAAGATGAGGTTTGTGGACCACGTGTTTGACGAGCAAGTGATCGATTCCCTGACCGTCAAGATCATCCTGCCCGAAGGGGCCAAGTGAGTCAGCCCGCGCCGTCCTTCTGCCCCGTCGCCCTTTGCCGCCTGTGGCCACCTCCAGAGGAACCTCAATTCTGGGGGTCACAGGAGGCGCCCAAAACATGCCTTTGATTGAGAAGCCTGCAGGCCTGTCGTCCCAGCGCTCTGGGAGGCCCAGGCGGGAGGCTCGCTCGAGGTCGGGAGTTGGAGGCCGGCCCGAGCAAGAGCGAGATCCCGTCTCTACTAAAAAAAATAGAAAGAAATGAGCTGGACAAGTAAAAATATGTAGAAAAAAATGGCCCGGGCGTGGTGGCGCATGGCTACAGTCCCAGCTACTGGGGATGGAGGCTGAGGCGGGAGGATCGCTGGAGGCCAGGAGTTGGAGGCCAGCCTGAGCAAGAGCGAGAACCTCGTCTCTACTAAAAAAATAGAAAGAAATTAATTGCCAACTAATGTATATATAGAAAAAAAAAAACGAGCCGGGCGTGGTGGCGCATGCCTGTAGTCCCAGCTACTCGGGAGGGAGGCCGAGGCGGGAGGCTGGTTTGAGGTCAGCAGTTGGAGACCAATGTGAGCAAGAGCAATAGCCTGACTTCTACTAAAAAAAAAAAAAAAAAAAATAGAAAGAAATGAGCTGGACAAGTAAAAATATGTAGAAAAAAATGGCCCGGGCGTGGTGGCGCATGGCTGTAGTCCCAGCTACTCCGGGAGGGAGGCCGAGGCGGGAGGATCGCTCGAGGTCAGGAGTTGGAGGCCAGCCTGAGCAAGAGCGAGAACCTCGTCTCTACTAAAAAAATAGAAAGAAATTAATTGCCAACTAATGTATATATAGAAAAAAAAAAACGAGCCGGGCGTGGTGGCGCACACCTGTAGTCCCAGCTACTCGGGAGGGAGGCCGAGGCGGGAGGCTGGTTTGAGGTCAGCAGTTGGAGACCAATGTGAGCAAGAGCAATAGCCTGACTTCTACTAAAAAAAAAAAAAAAAAAAATAGAAAGAAATGGGCCGGACAAGTAAAACTATATATAGAAAAAAAAAAAACGAGCCGGGCGTGGTGGCGCACACCTGTAGTCCCAGCTACTCGGGAGGGAGGCCGAGGCGGGAGGCTGGTTTGAGGTCAGCAGTTGGAGACCAATGTGAGCAAGAGCAATAGCCTGACTTCTACTAAAAAAAAAAAAAAAAAAATAGAAAGAAATGGGCCGGACAAGTAAAACTATATATAGAAAAAAGAAAAACAAGCCGGGCGTGGTGGCGCACGCGTGTAGTCCCAGCTACTCGGGAGGGAGGCTGAGGCGGGAGGCCAGAATTGGAGGCTGCTGTGAGCGAGGCTGACGCCACGGCACTCAATCCAG